AACCTATAGCACTGTATCATCCTTTGCAGATGACACTAGGATTTTCATGAGAGTTGGCAACATAGAGGACACGGCAAACCTCCAATCAGATGTAGATCAGGTCTTTCTATGGGCTACAGAAAATAATATGGTGTTTAACGAGGATAAGTTCCAGCTCATGCGCCACGGAAAAATTGAAAATATAAAAACGGAAATCACGTACAGAACTCGGGCAAATCATAACATAGAACGAAAAGGCAATGTAAAGGATTTGGGTGTACTCATGTCGGAAGACCTTACCTTTAAAGAACACAATAAAATAGCCGTCACAACTGCAAGAAAAATGACAGGTTGGATAACAAGAACTTTTCACGCTAGAGATGCTATACCGATGATACTTTTCAAAATGTTTGTGCTCTCTAGAGTGGAGTACTGCTGCACAATGACAGCCCCTTTCAAAGCTGGAGAAATTGCTGACCTGGAGAGCGTGCAGAGATCCTTTACTGCTAGAATCCACTCAGTAAAACATCTAAATTACTGGGACCGACTAAAGAGACTAAATCTGTACTCCCTTGAGTGCAGGCGGGAGAGATACATAATAATTTACATGTGGAAAATAATTGAGGGGCTGGTCCCAAACCTGCACACAGAAATAACATCACATGAGACCAGAAGACATGGCAGGATGTGCAGAATACCCCCGTTGAAAAGCAGAGGTGCAACAGGTACTCTGAGAGAGAACTCTATCAACATCAGAGGCCCGAGACTGTTCAACACGCTTCCACTACACATAAGGGGCATAACTGGCCGACCCCTCACAGTGTTCAAGAGAGAACTGGATAAGCACCTCCAAAGGATACCTGATCAACCAGGCTGTGACTCATACGTCAGGCTGCGAGCAGCCGCGTCTAACAGCCTGGTTGATCAGTCCAGCAACCAGGAGGCCTGGTCGACGACCGGGCCGCGGGGACGCTAAGCCCCGGAAGCACCTCAAGGTAAGGTTGGTTGGTGTCGCCCTGGTGGACGTGCTTCATGTGCAGCTGTCGGACCTGGTGGGCATCCAGCTGCTTCAGGGCAACCGTGCTGTGGTCAAGTTCCACCTCCAGGCTGCCTTTCAGGCGTTTCTCGAGCGGTGTGAGGGGGCGTGTTTACCCTCTCCCTGATACTGCTGGTTCTGTTAAGGTGGTGAATCTTAGTGTCACCTTGACGTCTGTGGCGGTGCATGGTGTCCCCTTCGAATTTCAGGACGACTTCTTGACCTGTTTTGAACGATTTGGGACAATGTTAAGTGTTTGTTGGAACAAGGTCCTTGCCGGGCACTGTGTTGGTATGCTTGACAGCTCCCGCACCCTGACGATGTCGCTGAAGTGTAGTGTCCTGTCGTCGATGTCCGTGTTGGGTTACACGCTCCGCTGCCAGTACCGGGGTCAACCGGACACCTGTTATCGGTGTGGTCACGAGGGTCATCTGGCTGCAGCGTGCGACGTGGGAGCGACTGGTCGGGTGCATGTTCTTCGTGCGGAGGATTTTCCGCCCCTGTTGCGTTCAGACGGTTCTGAAGACGGAGTGAGTGCTGTGCCTGAGGCGCCTGATTGCCTGTCTGCTGCTCCGCCTGTTGGGGCGAGTTCTACGGCCTGTGGGACACGTCTGGTGACTGCTGTGGCCCCTGGGGTTGTTGAGCGGGTGTGTGTGTGAGTGTTGGGCCGTTGCCTGAGCTGCGTGTCGTGCAGGATGTCCCAGTGGAGGTTCATGTCCCGCCCCCCGCCTGTGGTTGTAATACCGGCTCCCGGGGACGCGGTGCCTGCCGTGCCTGTGTGTGTTGGCGACTGTAGTTCTGCTCTTTCCATCCCTTTGCAGAAGCGTGCGCGTCGGTGCTCTGAGGCTGTTTCTCTGGATGATGTGGACAGTGTGGGTGATGTGGCCTCTGTGGACTCTTCAGACGGTGCGGGTGTGACCTGTGTGGATGTAAAGATGGTGGCTGTGCCTGCAGAGGGGCCTGCTGGGAATGATGCGGTGTGGCCTGTCTCGAAACGTTCTCTGCGGGCTCGGAGTGTCTCCCCTTTGTGGTGTGCCTTGGGAGGTGGTGGAGTATGATACTCTGGCGTCCCCCACCGTGGATGATGGTGCTGTGAGGGGCTCCGAAGTTGCTACCTGTGCCCCCCCCCCTCCTGCGTCACCTGCTGTTGGATCTCCGCAGTGGGGGGGTTGCCCCTGATGATCGGGACCTCGTCGTGGTGTTGCGGAAAGATGTGCGCCGGGGGGCCTCGGCTCCTGTGCCCTGTGGTGGGGTCGATGCCGCGCCTGCATCCCCTGCAGTGTCGTGGGTGAAGGAGTTTGTTTATAGGGTGCCGGATAAGATGTCTCAGCTGAGGGCACCGCCTGGTGGCCGGCTGCCCGATGACTTGTGGGTGATTTGGGAAGCGTACTGCTTGCGCTTTCCGATATACAAGTTCCCGGAGAAATATTAGTTAACGTCTTGCACGCACCGCTACGCCGTGCGTGGTTTCAGCTGCCGCCGTGCACTCGACACCCCGCCCTACAGTGCGAGGAGTCTCCCTCTAACGTCCACCTCTGTTTCCGTCGCCACTGTTCTCTCTACGGCCCGCCACATCCAACACTTTTGACTTTCTTCTCCTCCTTAACGTCTACGCGTTTCCCTACATTTGTCCTGGTGCAGTCATCGGGAGGGTAAACCCTTCATGCAAACTGCACCTATTCTCAAGAAGAAGAAGAAGAATCTTGAAGTTATCTTCATTGCTTTGCTTACTTTCTGGATGTTTTCTTGATTAAGGTAGTCATAACAATTCCCTGCTTCCTGTGCCTCTGTGAGGGGCGCCAGGTTCTGGCTCCGGTCCCTACTGGACCATTTACGATTCTAAGGATGATGTGACTCATCTGTGTGGAGCTATTTCAGCGAACTTAATTCCGTGAGCTACCATTCTGCCCCCTCCAGAAAATTTAAAAGTTCAATATTCAAAGTTCAAATTTCAATCCTTCAATCTAAGTACATAGGTATGACGTCGACCAAGCTGACGAGGCGTTTGACCTGTCATCTTCAATCCGGTGCCCCCCAGAAATTCCATGAGGCAAGCCCATGACATCACCCTAACAAGAGAAAAGTTGAGTAAAACCACTTGCACTTCTGCAAACGGCAACCGGCTATTCAGACAAAGGCCTTCCTATAGACGTAATCTTTGCCAAAGCTTTTCACAAGGTAACACATGAGAGACTGGCAACGAAATTACAGTCACATGGAATAAATGGGAGAATACTGGAATGGATAAAACAATGGTTAAAACGTCGAAAACAAAGAGTTGTGTTAAATGGGAATGAATCTGACTGGGGAAATGTGCTAAGTGGGGTGCCACAGGGGTCCATTTTGGGGCCAACCCTATATGTCATATACATTAATGAAATACATGAGAATATTACAAACCACATCATCAAATTTGCATATGACACAAAGATCTATGGTAAAGTGGGAAGTGAAAGTGATATTGATATTGAGACCTTTCAATGAGATCTACATAAACTCCACAAATGGTCAGGTAACTGGCGTATGCTTTTTACTCTCGATAAATGCAAGACCTTGCATATGAGGCATAACAATCCACGTCACCACTACCAGATTAGTAGCACTATCTTACAACTGATAGATGAAGTAAAGACCTTGGAGTCAGAATCCATCATTCACTATAAGTTGCACAACAAGGGGGTGCGGAAGTAAAAAAAAAAAAAAAAGAAAAAAAAACTGGGAATAATCAAGCGTACCTTTGATGACCAGACCACACACTAGAAGTTGAAGGGACGACGACGTTTCGGTCCGTCCTGGACCATTCTCAAGTCGATATGTGTAGTCTCTCAAGTCTCAAGTCTCACATATCGACTTGAGAATGGTCCAGGACGGACCGAAACGTCGTCCTCCCTTCAACTTTTAGTGTGTGGTCTGGTCAACATACTTCAGCCACGTTATTGTGACTCATCGCCTGCATAAGCGTACCTTTACCTTCGAGGAAAAGATAGTAGTTGTTCAGTTGATATGTCTGTGTTGCGTCTCCATGCCTGTATACTGGCATGGAGACTCATCTTCAGAAAAACATAACTGCCTTGGAGAAGGTGCAACACGGGCAACAAAAATCATACCAGAGCTCTCTCATATCGGACATCTCTGGTATCAGGAACGGTTGAAGGCCACTAGGCTAACAATACAAACCATGCATGACAGAGCGGATCTCATAGAAACCTTCAAAATACTAAACAGTTTGGACGATGTCGCTTCGTATAGTTTCTTCAAACGGTCAGATGTAACACGAACGGGGAACAACGGGTTCAAACTCAAGCCACAATGTTGGACAGAAAACAGGAGATGCTTTTTAACCCATAAGGTATTAAACCCGTAGAACCGCATACCCACCGAAGCCGTAAACGCTAAAACTCTGCTGGGTTTTAAAATACAGCTAGGAAAGATCACCAGGGCAAATAGGGGGACATTTGACATGCCGCCAGCTTCCTGTCCTCGTCGAGGCCACAAGTATTAGTGGCCCTCAGGTAATTTAAATTAAAGTACCTAGGTGGTTTGAGTGAGGGTGTGGTTTCTCATTGTAATGGAATTGATCAGAGGAGATGAACCGAACCATTAGGTGTTAGGAAACGTGCCAATTCTTTTCTGCCCTGTCCAGGATTCGAACCCGGAATTCCCATTTGTGAATCAAGAACGAACCCAACTGTAATACCAAAGTTGCTATGTCCCGTGTATTGTCTCCTTCCATATTTCTGTATGCTCCTTGATGATACGCTAATCATATCTTGAGTGTATTTCAGTTCTAAAGATATGATAAGGCATATTTTTTGTATGGTCCCAAACGGGTTATAATTATATTATTCATATGTAATACTCACTTTGTTAATTTAACCACCATATCCTTGTGAATGTCTCCACTTGAAGATGACCACTCGTAATGTAACCAATCTCCCTTTTAATCTGTCTAATTACTTGTGACAAAACACTAATTAACTCAAAGTGGCAAGAATTATCACCTTGAAACAGGGTTGAGGAAGATTGTGGTGTGTATCTGTGTGGGATAAATCCCCACAGACGCTTACAGTGACCTGGTCAGGTGTGTGTGCATCATACTCCTGCAACGGAGCAACCAGTCTGGTAACTATACCTGTGTTCTTATCCTGAAACACTGCTGCCTCAACACCTTTATTATATATATATATATATATATATATATATATATATATATATATATATATATATATATATATATATATATATATATATATATATATATATATATATATATATACAGGAAGGTACATTGGCTTTATGAGAGTACATACCATTGACGTTTTTACATTCTTGTAAAGCCACTAACACGCATAGCCTTTCGGCCAGGTCCTTAATGTAACAGATAATTTTAAGTATGTAATTTGTAGCAAAATTGAAAATTTTTAAGAGGTACATGGTAAGAAAGTGCGAAGAAAATTACTAGGTACATTATAGTAAAATTTGACGATTATCAACAGGTGCATTGTAACATAATTTGTTTCTAGTTTCTAATACATTGTAGTAAAATGTGCGTTCAACATAACCACCACGATATAAGATGATATCAGTGAATACAGCGGTGAAGTTGTATGCCTTAGGCACATATACTGGGGGAGTGAGTAGCACAAGCTACTGTGCGAGTTTAAGGCACTAGGTAAGAAACTGTGAGGATCAAATTAGATATTTTTTTGTTTTATTTTTGAATAAGGCTTAGGTTGGACAGCTTTTTAATTCGTTAAGGAGTGAGTTCCATAGACTAGGTCCCTTTATTTACATAAGTGTGTCTACACAGATTTAGTTTGACTCTGGGGATATCAAAGTGATATTTATTTCTGGTGTGGCGATTATGGGTTCTACACATCTGTCAATTTAGGAACTATTAAGGCAGTTCCTAAATTAACATGAAGGCAGATCTGCCGTGATCCGTTAATGCTTAGCATGTTTAAGGATTTAAACAGAGGGGCTGCGAGTGAGGGAGATATACTACTGTTAATGGTAGAGTTGGGGAGATTATATCATTGATGGCTACATATTGGTGTCTGTCACTAAGACAGGATCGAATATATTTCAGGTTAAGGCCTCAGATTCCATAATGGTGAAGTTTAAGTAAGAGATATTTATTGCTACCAGTATCAAAGGCCATTCTCAGGTCAATGAAGAGTACAATTAAGAACACACTTTTGGCAAGGGCTGCATAGATTATATCAAGCAAACTAATAATTGCATCATTAGTACACTTTTGGGAGAGGAAGCCAAATTAACAGGGACTTAGTATGTTGAATTTTACGAGGTAGGAGTAGAGCATTTCGTAAATGCATTTTTCAAATATTTTTTATAATTTAGATTTGATATTGATCTATAATTGTTTATGTCTGCCGTATCGCCTCCTGTATGAACTAGCGTTATTTGTGTTATTTTTAAGGATATAAGGGTATGACACTGCCAGTGTTGTGGCAGTAGTATTACTGCCACAACATTGCTACCACAACACAGCTGCCACAACACTGCTACCACAACACTGCTACCACAACACTGCTACCACAACACAGCTACCACAACACTGCTACCACAACACTGCTACCACAACACAGCTACCACAACACAGCTGCCACAACACTGCTACCACAACACTGCTACCACAACACAGCTACCACAACACTGCTACCACAACACAGCTACCACAACACAGCTGCCACAACACTGCTACCACAACACAGCTGCCACAACACAGCTACCACAACACAGCTACGACAACACAGCTGCCACAACACAGCTACCACAACACAGCTGCCACAACACAGCTACCACAACACAGCTACCACAACACAGCTGCCACAACACAGCTACCACAACACAGCTACCACAACACAGCTACCACAACACAGCTACCACAACACAGCTGCCACAACACAGCTACCACAACACAGCTGCCACAACACAGCTACCACAACACTGCTACAACAACACAGCTACCACAACACAGCTGCCACAACACTGCTACCACAACACTGCTACCACAACACAGCTACCACAACACAGCTGCCACAACACAGCTACCACAACACTGCTACCACAACACAGCTACCACAACACAGCTGCCACAACACAGCTACCACAACACAGCTACCACAACACAGCTGCCACAACACAGCTGCCACAACACTGCTACCACAACACAGCTACCACAACACAGCTGCCACAACACAGCTGCCACAACACTGCTACCACAACACAGCTACCACAACACAGCTGCCACAACACAGCTGCCACAACACAGCTGCCACAACACAGCTACCACAACACAGCTGCCACAACACAGCTACCACAACACAGCTGCCACAACACAGCTGCCACAACACAGCTACCACAACACAGCTACCACAACACAGCTGCCACAACACAGCTACCACAACACTGCTACCACAACACAGCTACCACAACACAGCTGCCACAACACAGCTGCCACAACACTGCTACCACAACACAGCTACCACAACACAGCTGCCACAACACAGCTGCCACAACACAGCTGCCACAACACAGCTACCACAACACAGCTGCCACAACACAGCTTCCACAACACAGCTGCCACAACACAGCTGCCACAACACTGCTACCACAACACAGCTACCACAACACAGCTGCCACAACACAGCTACCACAACACAGCTACCACAACACAGCTACCACAACACAGCTGCCACAACACAGCTGCCACAACACAGCTGCCACAACACAGCTGCCACAACACAGCTGCCACAACACAGCTACCACAACACAGCTGCCACAACACAGCTGCCACAACACAGCTGCCACAACACTGCTGCCACAACACAGCTACCACAACACAGCTACCACAACACAGCTGCCACAACACAGCTGCCACAACACAGCTACCACAACACAGCTGCCACAACACAGCTGCCACAACACAGCTGCCACAACACAGCTGCCACAACACAGCTACCACAACACAGCTGCCACAACACAGCTTCCACAACACAGCTGCCACAACACAGCTGCCACAACACAGCTACCACAACACAGCTACCACAACACAGCTACCACAACACAGCTGCCACAACACAGCACAACACAGCTGCCACAACACAGCTACCACAACACAGCTACCACAACACAGCTGCCACAACACAGCTGCCACAACACAGCTACCACAACACAGCTACCACAACACAGCTGCCACAACACAGCTGCCACAACACAGCTGCCACAACACAGCTGCCAGCTGCCACACACTGCCACAACCAACACAGCTACCACAACACAGCTGCCACAACACTGCTACCACAACACTGCTACCACAACACAGCTACCACAACACAGCTGCCACAACACAGCTACCACAACACTGCTACCACAACACAGCTACCACAACACAGCTGCCACAACACTGCTACCACAACACAGCTACCACAACACAGCTGCCACAACACAGCTGCCACAACACTGCTACCACAACACAGCTACCACAACACAGCTGCCACAACACAGCTGCCACAACACAGCTACCACAACACAGCTACCACAACACAGCTGCCACAACACAGCTGCCACAACACTGCTACCACAACACAGCTACCACAACACAGCTGCCACAACACAGCTTCCACAACACAGCTGCCACAACACAGCTGCCACAACACAGCTACCACAACACAGCTACCACAACACAGCTGCCACAACACAGCTACCACAACACAGCTACCACAACACAGCTGCCACAACACAGCTACCACAACACAGCTACCACAACACAGCTGCCACAACACAGCTACCACAACACAGCTACCACAACACAGCTGCCACAACACAGCTGCCACAACACAGCTGCCACAACACAGCTGCCACAACACTGCTACAACAACACAGCTACCACAACACAGCTGCCACAACACTGCTACCACAACACTGCTACCACAACACAGCTACCACAACACAGCTGCCACAACACAGCTACCACAACACTGCTACAACAACACAGCTACCACAACACAGCTGCCACAACACTGCTACCACAACACAGCTACCACAACACAGCTGCCACAACACAGCTGCCACAACACTGCTACCACAACACAGCTACCACAACACAGCTGCCACAACACAGCTGCCACAACACTGCTACCACAACACAGCTACCACAACACAGCTGCCACAACACAGCTGCCACAACACAGCTGCCACAACACAGCTACCACAACACAGCTGCCACAACACAACTTCCACAACACAGCTGCCACAACAGAGCTGCCACAACACTGCTACCACAACACAGCTACCACAACACAGCTGCCACAACACAGCTGCCACAACACAGCTGCCACAACACAGCTGCCACAACACAGCTGCCACAACACAGCTGCCACAACACAGCTTCCACAACACAGCTGCCACAACACAGCTGCCACAACATAGCTACAACAACACAGCTACCACAACACAGCTGCCACAACACAGCTGCCACAACACTGCTACCACAACACTGCTGCCACAACACAGCTTCCCCAACACAGCTGCCACAACACAGCTGCCACAACACAGCTACCACAACACAGCTACCACAACACAGCTAGCACAACACAGCTGCCACAACACAGCTTCCACAACACTGCTACCACAACACAGCTTCCACAACACAGCTGCCACAACACAGCTGCCACAACACAGCTGCCACAACACAGCTGCCACAACACAGCTACCACAACACAGCTGCCACAACACAGCTACAACAACACAGCTGCCACAACACAGCTACAACAACACAGCTACCACAACACAGCTACCACAACACAGCTGCCACAACACAGCTGCCACAACACAGCTGCCACAACACAGCTGCCACAACACAGCTACCACAACACAGCTGCCACAACACAGCTACAACAACACAGCTTCCACAACACAGCTACCACAACACAGCTACCACAACACAGCTGCCACAACACAGCTGCCACAACACTGCTACCACAACACTGCTGCCACAACACAGCTGCCACAACACTGCTACGACAACACTGCTACCACAACACAGCTACCACAACACAGCTGCCACAACACAGCTACCACAACACTGCTACAACAAC